TGAAATGAATGAGGCTATTTGTGGAGAAAGGAGCTAGTCAATACAGAATGAGATCCTGGATTAGGGCAGTAAAATTACAGAACACAAACCAGGTCCTGTGCAAAGTGGCCCAAGTGCCTACATTTTCTGTCAAAGAGCAAGGCTGAGGAAACGATTGTTTTGGGGAAGCGACAGATAGCAGAAAGTGATTTGCAATACATAGCTACACACCAGACACTTAGTCAGGAGCAAAAGGAGAGCAATATTACAACTCGCAGGCACGGACGTTTGTAAATGTCAAGAGATGGCATAAGGGGCTAGATTCCGATATTAGCTACAGTTAGGGAAGCAGGATCAGTCCGTCAGTTTCAGTGGTGTTATTCCAGGTATACAGCAGTGCAACATGGCTCTGCCTGAAAAGCGTAGGAAAAGAGGTGGGTTTTGAACATTGCCAATAACAAGAATGGCCTTTCATTCTCTGGCACTCCACTGACTGCAGGACAGGCCCACTTGATACACTGGAGATGAACTTTCCCTCTAGGGGCGGGAGAAGACTTTTTTTTTTTTAAACAAAGTGATCAGAACAAAAAAAGCAACACCAACAAACGGGCTCCTCTTTTCTGGCCAGTTTGCTTTATGGGACCCAAACCTCACAGGATATCAGCTCCTTGCCACAAGGGCACTTGCTGCTTAAAAGATGGACTTTTGTACTGCAAAGCATGTCAAATCTGACTCATGTGGAGCCTAATTAGAACAGCCCATGCTTGAGAAAACAGCCAGGAAACTAATATTTTACCTACATTCTGCAGGAGGATTTGTACTTCCACAATTTTTCCCAATGTGCCATAGGGTAGGTAGAGGAACAGAAACCAGACAGCAGCAACAGGTAGGAGAAGTCAAATAAGTATGATCACAGAGCATCTGTATGCAGATGAAAGGCCAGGAGTTTTATCAGGACACTGACACATCCCACACAGTTTATGTCAATATCAACATTCCCTACATTTTACTGCAACAAATCCAATCCAGCAGAGAAAGTAGGTTCCACTGGCAGATGATCCATCCCTGGATTTTTTTTTAAATCAATTCAACATCTTAGAGCCACTTTAGAATCTGGATACACACACTTCAGAGTTCACCTCTATCCTTCAACGAGGGATGTTAAAATGCATTTATTCAAGTAAACGTGTAACCACTGACAATTTTAGTGGTTACACACGCACGTGGGAAAGGGGGGGCTCCCCACACGTACCGGCTCCTGCAGCACAGGGGTGGGAGGGCTGCATGTAACTATGTATACAGCTACACATTCACATCTCTACCTTAAACCAGTGAAATCTGCCCATTAGAAGTGTGTTTTGTAAAGGATTTGGAACCTTACATCACCAGGTAAAAGGTCCCAATCTAGCATGAATTTCAGGTAGCCACACACCAACTAAGCTCCTCTGGGTAGATGCCCATGCAGAGCAGTCGCCAGGACTGGACACTAGAAAACTTCCATTTATTTTCTCATATTTACAAAGAATACCCTGTGGTGTCCAAAGTTCTTTATTTAGAAGGTTCACATCCCGTTTCAGATTGGTGCATGGACATGATGGAAATAGCATAACACGAGCTCCTTATTTCTAAGGCTATTGGTGTAAGAAACCAGGATATGGGGAGCATCTCTTAGCTAAATAGAAACATCTCTGAGAGGTCCATGAGATAGAGAGGAGCTGCTGACTTTTGTTGTGGCTCCCTCATAGCTTTACTTGTACAACCGTGTTAAAGTTTCTAGACTTGTTCCAAAACACCTCTGGTTTTAATCTCCATTTTTTTTTTTTTTTTTTGGTAATCAGAAATGTTAGGGCATTTAACTTTCAGAAGCAAACGACACCGTCACTGGACCCAACAATATAAGCCACAACATCAGGGGCTCATACAGCTGCACATCCTCGAATGAAGGGGTGGGGAACCTTTTTTGGGTCGGGGGCCACTGACCCACAGAAAAATCAGTCAGGGGCCACACACAAGTGAGAAGCAAAAAAAAAAAAAACAACAACAACAAAAAAGAAAAAACCCAAACAAACCACCGCCACCCTCACCAACTGAGAATACTCCTCACATTCCCCATGTACACCAGAAGAGCCTAAGTAGACTTTGTGTCCTCTAGCTCTATGGTGGGGCAGCAGAGGGGCTGGAGTGCCAGTGCAGGCTCCCTAATGCAGGAGGCATCCTGAGCCACAGGGGCTGGATCCAAGCAAGCCAAGTGCTGCAAGCCCCCGGGCCTGAGGTTCCCCACCCGTACTCTGATGTGATATGTGTCATCAAGTGCCAGCAATGCCCCTCTGCCATGCACACTGGCCATACCAGACAGTTTCTGCGACAAAGGATAAACGAACACAAATCAGACATCAGAAATGAAACACATACAATGTAGCGGAACATTTTAACCTGCCTGGGCACTCAATCCCTGGATTTAAAAGTAGCCATTCTTCTACAAAGGAATGTCATTAGAGAGAGACTGGAGAACTGGAATTCATCTGTAAGTTTGACACTGTTACCCTGGGCTGAAATAGAGACATTAACTGGTTGGCACATTACAAAGCCAATTTCCCCTGCCCTTAACACCCGCATTTTCACATCAAAAGTTATGAATGGGACACATCCAGCACACTTAATTAACCTCATTATCACAGGTCCTACAATTGACAGGTATTTCTTTTGAAATAGACAGACAGATATCTTGGTTTCTGTTATTTCCACTCCAACTCATATGACGAAGTGGGTTTTACCCATGAAAAGTCTTGATTCTATATATTTTAGTTAGTCTTTAAGGTGCCACAGGAATACTCATTGTTTCTCAAAATTAGGGGCAGGGAAAAGACACACAATAGAAATGCCAAAAATGTAACACAAAAGTCAGATTGGTACCTGGGAAAGAGATGAATAACATTGGGGTGGGTGGGGGCACGGAGGGTCACATTGCAGATCAGGACACGCACACCAGTTTCCATGATTAATGTGTAAACTGGTTTTAAAAAAGGGAGGGTGAAACTAGCCTACCAAGCAGTCAAGAATTCCTTTGTTTGGAAATACTATTCAAATGCTTTTAGAGAACCTGGAATTTGTAGGCTTGTAATGAAGAGGATGAACATTTGGCAGCACAGAGAGGCTATAAAGCATTCAGGAATAGGCTTCCCCGGTCTTTGTCTTTTGATGAAATAACCTCAGATGAAGATCTGTTCAGGTGTCAGAAATCATTTTATGAGTAATGGGGCAAGCACACTAATGTCACTGCTCTTGCATTAGAGTATCAGGGTTTGAACATTTTCAGAACACCAGAAATGAGTGTTCAGTGCTGAATTTTTCAAGTAATATGGCTATCAGCTAAAATTTTGGCCTCCCTCATTAAAAAAAAAAGAAAAAAGAAAAAAAAACAACCAGCTGATAATCCAGTTTTAAAACTCTTGGGTAAACCAGCCTGATTAAAACATTGTAAGCTTCCTATAGTAACCACGCAGAATGATTTAACTTCGTATGGAATCACTCCTGCTGTGTGGTAAGCATTTCAAACAGCTTGAATCATGTCTGCATCTTCAGAGTTTGATCAAGGTTTGTAAACGAATAACTGCACCCTCTAGCTTTAGTCAAAGCTTGTCCAAAACTCTTGGGTAAACCAGCCTGATTAAAACATTGTAAGCTTCCTATAGTAACCACGCAGAATGATTTAACTTCGTATGGAATCACTCCTGCTGTGTGGTAAGCATTTCAAACAGCTTGAATCATGTCTGCATCTTCAGAGTTTGATCAAGGTTTGTAAACGAATAACTGCACCCTCTAGCTTTAGTCAAAGCTTGTCCTCAATCAAGCCATCCAAGGATAGTGCCTCTGAATTTCCAAGCTCATTTACAAATACAAGATAGATGTAGCACTAGATTGATCCTAGGAGTAAAGGGACAATATAAATCTAGTTCCTTTGCAGAGGCTTTCCTAGTGTTCTAGGGAGAAAGGCACTGAACTGAGTCTCGAGATATCTGAATTCTATGTCCATCTCTCTGCCTGCTGCGAGACTGTGGGTAAAGTAAATTAATCCATGCCTCAGTTTCCCCTCTCCCATTCATTCTTGAGTATTTAGACTGGAAGCTCTTTAGGGCAGGGCTGTTTGTACAGTACCTAGCTCAATGGGGAGCGGTTTCTGCCAGAGCTTGTAAGTGCTGCCATGCTACTCTAATGCTGGGACAAAACTTTTGTGCCAGGAAGCAGGGGGGAAAGTATACAATAAGGAAATAAGAGCATTAATACAAAAGTTCCTGAGAGCCATTTTTCTAAAATATTTGGAATAAAACAGAACTGGCCACAGGCTTTAACAATGGAAAGTACAGGAAAAGAAAAATCTATGGCTTAGCCTACATCTGCTATTATCCTCACACACAGCACTGGTTTAGTTTCCAAAAAAAACTTCCCCTGTTTCGCTAAAGAGACTTGCCCTCAGCCAAGGTCAAGTAAAGTTTTGCTGGAAGTTCAGAGGAAACATACAAGAGAAAGGGCCTGCCCCCTTCCCCATCTCAATTCACTTGGCTCTTTTACTTGTTATAACTATCTAGATCTATGTGAAGACAAACTATTTCCTGGCAGACATTTTGGCTCTTGTTTACATTTGCAGTCTGTGTATTTCTCTTGTTGCAGAGCAATATGGCTGTCACAAGAGCCGACAGTTTTGAATGCACAACCACTTCTGCCTGCAGCCATGTGCGAAACAGGGAATCCCGCCCCTTAGTTGTTTTTTACATGGCTTTTCATAAGAAAAACTTTAACAACTGGTGTGGGGGGGAAGGGGGGGTTAAGAGTGGCCTCAGATGAAGCCTTTGTAGCTTCTTTCGTGAGGTTCTCCGAGATAAGAAATAACCCTTTCAGATTTCATTTTTTCATGAGATGAAGGACTCTGTAGGATGGGGAGGACATTCCTGTACATTTCTTGCCCACAGGAAGTGAAGATACTACAGGGGAACAGCACCGTGTCTGAAGTTTGGGTCACTTACCATCTGATGGTGGTGGTGATTGTTTGGAATGTTAGTTTCTTGAAAAAATGCACTCAAAGCAGTCTGCAAAAAAACCAACAAATTAGTTAATTCCAGCAGCCAGCCAGAGGAAAAGCCAACACACAGGACTGGGGCAAGCAAAGACACTGGAAATGTTTTGTTTTGTGAAAAACTGTTTGGATCTCTTGCTCCCTTAAGTACATTTCAATTGTAAACAAATAATGTAAGACAACAAACAGGCTGTTGGCATTTCTCAACACTGGCTTTACTTTGAAATGCTAATTTTCTCTCCCCCTGCAAAAAGAGGAATGAAGCTACTAAGGAATCCAAAACAAGATCACAAGCAGGAGACCTTCCCCCACCTGGACTGAATTGATCCCCCACCCTATCTAACCCAGAAACACAAAACAGAATCCAGCTGAAGTACCATCAAAGCACTTCAGTAAAAACGGCCAAGGGACCCATGTTGGTTTCGTTACCATGAGTGGCATTAATCATGGAAGGAAAAGGGGCCAGTAGGGTAAAGTCTCTCCAGAAACATGCCAAAGAAAAAGCAAGCCTTCACCAGCAGGCCTGCAGGAAACTGACAAAGCCCCGTGTGTAATGATTTCCTTTTATGTGAACAGTGTATATTTTTTAAAACTCCATTTGTCATCTGCTTCCTCCCCATGGTCTTTATCCACGTGAAGGGAGTTAAAGCCCTTCTCATCTTACATAACATTCCCCCCCCTTTTTTCCCCCACTCACAAAAAAGACCCAAACCGACCACACCACATTTTACCACCCTGCCTCTCTCCATATGGGGCTGGGAAGGAGTTCACTCCCTAGACAATATTTCCCCCAGCTCTGGAGCAGCTTCCCCTATGAATCCACTCTCCCACCAGGTAAATCGGGGCAGAAAGAGACCAGACCACGTTTCTATGCCTCATTCCAGGGCCCTGGAGCTCAGAGGAGGCTACAGATTTGGTTACAGCGCAATATATAAATAGGAACCAGGAGAGCTGCAAGCCGGTTTCTCTTCCCCCTCCTCCCGGTAAGTTACATGAATAAAATTTATTCTCCCCTCCCATCCATAACAGCAGCAACAGACATTACGTGCGAGGCCTCGTGCATTGCTGGCCCCCGAAGGCACTAGCTGCAATAGGTAGTCGTAATGAAGTCCTAGTAATGATTGTTTATATGCAGCTCCCTAGCTTGCCATTCAGCGGCAGCGCCAGGGCCCCATGTTGCAGGGCCGGCCGTGTCCCCGCTCTGTTGTTATTTAAAGCCGCGTACACACACATTCCACCCCCACAACTGTTTCCAAGGCCAACTGTTTCAGCGAGAAAGGGAGAGCGATTAGGCGGAGGACGGGGTGGAAGTAGAAAAGGCAGGGGCTCCTGCGCGCGAGGCTCCCACGCTCCCCTGGGGGGTCCCCCCCCCCAGTCCGCCACGCACCTCGAACTGCCAATGCGCCGCCTGCAGCAGTTGCTTCGCCTGATCTGCCGCACAGCCCGCGGCCAGCACGAACTGGTTGATCATGACCTGGTGCCTCAGCTCCTCCATATTCACCGACATGGCGAGAGAAACGAAACCACAACAACGAGGGGAGCGGGGCAAAAGACACGCACGGTGCCCCTGCGGCGTATGGGGGTGAATCCACGAAGGCCCTTCCCTCCTTCTCCACCCCACACTCGGCTCCCCCTGGCCCTTCGGCTTGGCCAAGCCAACCCTGCTTCCTCCCAGCCTGTTTCAGGCGGCACCGAGCCGATTATGTTGTGCTCCCCCCGGCCCCAGTCCCAGTCCTTCCAGCTCTTCGGCTGCTTGAGCACCACAAACAACAGCACAGCAGCCAGGGGAGGAGCATGTGGGGAAAACTAGGGGGAGGGAGGCTGGAGGTGTCTCAACGTTCCGTTCCCGGCGTTCCGAGCCCGCTGATTGGCCACCGCCGTGCTCTTCACATGTATGAACGTTCGATTCGAATCTTCCAGCTTCCCTGGCTGTGGCTGTTTCTCTGGCTCCCTTCCCCCCAGCTCATGCTTCATTGGGGGAGAATGAGCCATCGGGCTCTTTCCTCATTGGATAGCTGCTGTGTTTTGGATCGGGGGAGGGCCACCATTGGCCTCTGTTTTTCCAGGGGCGGGGTGAGACTGTGCTGTTCTGCGAAATGAGCTGGAAAGCCCGGCCGGCTTGTTCATTGGCTGTTACCTCTTTCTGTTTTTCTCTTGTTGAAAAAAAATGTTTGTAAAGCCAAGTTCATTCAAGAGCTTCATTGAAACCAACATGCTCAGCTGGAAAAGCAGGACTCGACTGAGCAGCAGCAAAAATGGCTCTGACTCATTTCCTGTGAAAGAACTAGTGATCCTGAGAACCAAACTTATCACAATAGAGAGCACATTTGCAACTTCCGATTCTTACAGTTTATTTAATACTGGGAGTTGAGGGTTGCTATTTCTTTTCATCTATTTTTTATCAGTTTTGAGACATGGCAAACAACAGAAAAGTACACTGGTAAAAATCTGCAATTACACAATTCTGTACTTCTTTGGTACCTCAATTCTAAGGGTACGTCTACACTGCAACACTATTTCAACATAACTAGCACTATTCTGAAATAACCTAATCCGCGTCTACACAGCAGGCAGTTATTTTGAAATAGTGTCAAAATACTGTCAAGCTAGAGGACTGCTTACTCCGACTCCCGTGAACCTCATTGTATGAGGAATAAGGGAAGTCAGAACAAGAGTGCTCTATTTCGAAATAAGTGTAGTGTGAATGCTTCCTATTTCAAAATAAGCTATTATGAAATAAGATGTGCAATTGACATAGCTAAATTTGCGTAGCTTATTTTGAGTTAAGCCCTGCAGTATAGCTATGCTCTAAGTGACTTTTGAGAATCAACCCCTTGGATGGATGTGTGTGAGAATCCCACTTCTAGTACAAAGTTAAATCTGGGGTGCAGGGACTTTCTATTGAGTCTTACTATTCTGCCAGTTGAATTTTTGGAATTCCCACAGTCTCAACCCATAACTGCTAAGACTGTCAAGCCTAAGGTCTCTGTGGCTTCAAAGCTGTGTTCCTGCCTCAGCTACAGGCTCAAGATGGGATCTTGAGCAAGTAATGTTGCCACCCTGTGACTCCATTTACCTATCTGCAAAATGTAGCTAATGATACTTCCTTACCTTGTAGACTTTAAGTTTGTGAAGAGTGCAGATAGTGTGGTGCTGAGTGCCGTAGAAATAACAAACCAAATGCCGACTGAGGAACGTAAGGAGACATAAATGAATGAAGCTTCACATCATCCATGTGGACAGGTAAATGTCATACTCGTTTTACAGATGGGGAACTGAGTATAGAGAGATTAAGTAATTTGAGACCACACACAATGTATTGTGAGTGCTAATATTAGGGCTTAGGAGATCCTGACTCCCAGCCATTTGCTCAGACCACTCCACGCTGTTGGCTCTTTTGCTGAATTTGTGTGAGGATCAATTCATTTTTCTTTAATGAGTTTCCCACCAGGGCCATCCTTAAGGACGGGCAGGCACCCTACACACCAACATCTGGGGGGGGGGGCACTCGGATGTTCTGCTCGCATCCTCCTTTTTTCCCCCCTCTCCTGCTCAGAGGGCACCAGAAACATTCTCTGCCATGAGTGGCAGATTGGCTTGTGGGCCTTGCTTGTCACAGTCAGGTGAAGGTGACCTGCAGAGGCTTTTTGCCTGCCAAGATCTGAATTTAGGGCTCTCAATAAATGGTGTTTTCCCCAGAACTGACAATGTCAGGCACTTTTTAAACAGTTTATGAGAGCTGCTAACAGGGACAAATGCTGCTTCCAGCTGCACAGGAGTGGAGCCGAGAATATCTGCTTAGCCAGGAGTCTTTGTGGCTCTTTGCACACTGGTGGGATTTGGGGAAAGGGTAAGACATGGGAGGTCTCAGGGTAGACCTAGCAGTTCTATGACTGTGCAGATTCACCATGCTCCCCATAATGGCTACTGCATCTGTGACCAGCTCCATGGTCCTATCATGAGACTTTCTTCTACTCTCACAGAGATTCCCAGGATATAGTCTAATTACCCAGATTTTGTAGTCAGTGACAGGCTTTGCTTCCTCCTACATGACATTAGATCAGGGTGGGCAATAAAACGGTGGTGGTTCACCAGGATTAGCCCCGGTATTTATGCACAGCTCTGCAGGTATGGACAATTGCAGCTCCCATTGGCCCAGAATGGCGTTGCACAGACAACCGGAGCTGTGATCCCCTGTACCTGCAGAGGTGCAGGTAAACATGGTGGTGTGGAAGCCCACCAGTGCTAACCCTGACAGACTGGATCCAGTCCATGGTCTGGTATTTGTCCACCCCCACATTAAGTGTTAGTGAGGTGACTGACTTTTGAAGAAGAAACAGTCACCTCACCGGTTTCCCTCTTCTCATACTTTTAGGTGCCACAAAAGCTTATGCTCCTACACTTCAGTTAGTCTATAAGGTGCCACAGGACTCCTCGCCGCTTTTGCAGATTCAGACTAACACGGCTACCCCTCTGATACTTGATCTCATTTGCATTTAGTCCCTCATTAGCATATTTTTTGCCCAGAAAACTCGTAGTGTAGACATAGCCTATGAGTACCCTTTCCTGCTGCTATTTTTAAAAATTGCTCCAAAGCATATAGCTAAACGGAGACACAAGTGTTGTCCGAAGCAGGGACTTTGCAAGAAGACAATTGATTTAATCAACTGATATCAGATTAAAAGAGCCTGAAGAGACTGAGATATTGTGGTTGATGACATTTGTAATAATTGTGAAAAGCAATATAAATACACAAATAGTTAGGAATGGATTTTATCATGATGTCACTACCAACAGGTAAATTCCATTGGAATTTCAGGTCTTTTTCAGGCTGTGGGAGATGTTATTCTTTGGAGAAACATTTTGATCCAAGTATTTCTAAATTGCACTTGTGTTACTTTTACTTTCTGTTATTTGGTAACCCCAGAAGTATGAAAATCCAAACTGAAGGACCTTGATGGCACTGAAAAATATTGTTTCTGTACAATCTGGAGTTTCCTGCTTTGCTAAAGTTTGCTGTGGTTTGAAATGTGACCATTTCTTCTACATCTTAAAGGTCAGACTCCTGTGAACAAATAGGCATAATTATTCTCTTTGGACTCTGATTCATCCCCTCCCCCGCCTCCTCCTATTCAGAGCAGAAACAGGCCTCGTACTTTCAGTCCCTGAGGCTCTAGTCTTCTGTCCAGCACATAACTCCTATTCATGTTGGAGCTGACAAGAAAAAACTCACATTCCAGATCAATAAAGGCCCTCCCCAAGCCTTTACACCACTGAGGTAACAGGCGTGGGTAAGGCATAGGACATGAACTGACCCTCTGAAGAGACGTGATCTCTATGGTTGGTTACATTAGTCATCCAATCTGGGAAAAGAAACCAGACCACATGGCTGATGAAACTAACCAACACAGTACAACTGATGAGTGTACACAATGAATTGTTAATGAAAAGTTTTTTTATTGAAGAAATGCAAATAACAAACAAGACAGAGAATTGTCTAATGTGTTCAAACTCACTAAAGAAAGGGAGGGGGGAGAGGGAATTTTAAAATAATGGTTGCTTCAGAGTCCAGGTAGCTAAATAAGGGTATGTCTAGACTGCACTCTAAATTTTGATTTTATTTTGAAAGAGACTATTTTGAAATTTGGCACATCTACATGGCACCAAATTTCGCAATAAAGTACTAGTTGGAGACATCCCATGTTCCTCATGGAAGGAGGTTTACAGGGATGCTGAAATAGCATGTCTGTTATTTTGAAAAAGGCTCCTTAGATGTAGAGTAGCTATTTCAGGATACTTTTGGTATCCTGAAAGAGCCTTGCTGTCTAGATGGGGCCTAACCAGTTGTCTGTGGGATGAGACTGGTTATGGAGCTATACCCATCTCCTAGGGCTAGACAGGACCTTGAGAGGTCATCAAGTCCAGTCTGCTGCCCTCACCACAAGACCAAGTACCATCCCTGACAGATTTGCCCTAGCTCCCTAAACGGCCCCCTCAAGGATTGCGCTCACAACCCTGGGTAGAGCAGGCTAATGCTCAAATCACTGAGCTATCCCTCAATCTGGGTAGATTATGCCCATCAGGCTGCATTTGATTAACAAAACCATGAAGCATGATGATAAAAGTTTATTAGCCATGCTACTGTTTGCATTGCAGGAGCACCTAGAGGTAAGAGCTTTATTGAGCTGGGTGTTGTATGTATACAAAATAAAAGACAGTTCCTGCCTTGAGGAGCTCACACCCTAAATGTGGAAAACATACTAAATGTGGGAGTATTACTTCAATTTTAGCAATGGAGGTCTACAAGCACAGTGAGATTATATGGCTTGCCCAAACTCACACATTAAGTTTGTAGCAAAGCCAGGAATTGAACCCCATCCTCCTGAGCTACTCTCTGATACCTTAGTGAGAGAACCAGTGTGGCTGTCTGGGATCAGGGAGTCCTTCCCCCTGAGGGTAACAAGCTGTAGACAAAACTGGATTTCCCCCCCCCTAGGAAGGTGGGGAAGCACTGGAATGAGTGTCCTAGGAAAGTGGTGGAATCTCCATCCCTGGTGATTTTTAAGCCCTTGATTGGCTGGGATAGGGTTGCCAGATGGTTTCAACAAAAATACTGGACACCCTTGACATTACATCCCCATTTACATTACACATCCTATTTAGAAAATACCGGACATTTCTATTTTCTCGTTTATATTTTTGCCATTTGTTTCCCGAACAGAAAGCTTAAATACTGGACTGTCCGGTTCAAAACTGGATACTTGGCAACCCTAGGCTGGGATGCCCTTCTGAGGTCTCTCCAACCCCATGATTC